AAGATGTGTTTTTCTCGAAAAATGACATCTTCGCAGTATTTCGTATTTTTCGACCGGAAGGAAGTATTTGCTAAGGCTAAAAAGTAGTTTTTCGTGATCAGCAGCTCACACTCTATCAAATGGTGTACAATCATTAAAAATCAATAAGAATAAAAAGACAATTAACATAAGTTCACAAGAATTAAAAGGTCTCAAATCTCTATTAAATGATAAATCAATAGTAATAATGAAAGCTGATAAAGGGAGATCATGTGCCTTGATGGATAAAGAACAATATATTTTGAAAGTAAAACAACTACTCACAACAGGTAATATATTTAAGAAGATGAATAATACGGATGAAAAAGGTAATATCAACACTATTCAACATGTTGTTAAAAGGATGGAAACAACTAAATTATCGTATAAATGATCTGAAAAGAATAAATAAACTCAGTAAAGATGAGCATAAATGGATTACAGCTGTTGGCACTAGACTCCCTGTACTATTCTGTCAACCAAAAGCACACAAAACGGGAATGCCATCTCTACTTCCAATAGGTTACAATTATAATCTATCGAAATATCTCACAAATCTACTAGAAAAAGCAAGAACAAAACCTAATTCTTACATAAAAGATTCATTTAGTTTTGCTAAATTAATAAAACAACAAAAAACATCTAAAAATGATTTCATGATAAGTCTCGATGTTGAATCATTGTTTACATCAATTTCAGTTTATGAGTCGATCGAATTAGCAATCAAACAATCTTAGAAAAGAAACAAACTGAACCACCATTTACCAAACTTGAAGAGACAGATCTAAGATATCTTTTTGAACTATGTGTAACTAAAATGCTATTCAGATTCTATGATGAAATTTATCAACAAATCGATGATGTAAGCATGGGTTCACCACTTGCTTCAGCTCTAGCTGATCTTTTCATGGCTCATATTGAATCAAAATCAGAACAGTATCAGTATAATGATAAAATAAAAACCTATTTATTATCGTTACGTTGATGACACATTCATTGTTATGAATGGTAATGAACGAGATACTGACAATCTATTAGGATATGTCAACTCTCTACATTTTAATATAAAATTCACATGTGAAAAAGAAAACAATTTTAAAATCTCATTCTTAGATATAAAGATTATTCGTGAAAGAACAAAATTTCAAACAACTATTTTTAGAAAGAAAACACATACAGGACAGCATTTGCACCGGCATAGCTGTCAAGCAAAGAAATACAAAATCGGATTGATAAGAACCTTAACTTTTCGAGCACTTTCGATCTGCTCATCAAAAACATTATTAAATGAAGAATGTAGAATAACTGAATCAATGTTGATCAACAATGGATATCCTCTAAACTTAGTGAAAAGAAAAATCAAAAATACGATCGATCAATTTAATACAAAAAAAACCACCGACTCGACAAAAGAAACCATTCTTTGTACCTATCCACTTATCATGGACATGAAACGATTCTAATGACAAATAAGATTAAAAGTCTAATAGAACGAATTTATCCAACGACTAATGTCATTTTTGGATATTCTCCTTATCAAAATTCTTTATTAAAAATTATAAAGGAACTGATTCTATGAATATCGGAGTTATTTATAAATTAACATGTACTAAATGTGAAAAAGTGTACATTGGACAAACACAATTTGATGTGAATCATCGTATGAATCAGCATAAAAATGGATTAAGAAAAGAAGGAAACAGTGCTGCAGCTGATCATATCCTTCATAATAAAGAACATACAATTGATTTCGATAAACCAGAAGTTCTTGCACGTGACAACACAAAAAAAGGAAGAGAAATAAGAGAAACTCTTCTAACTTTAAAACATCAAAATTCATACAACACAATATCACATGAACTAATTATATTTAAATGGGGATAAAACGAAGAGGAGAAACATTGCACTACGATGACATCATTTCTCCCCTTCGTAGTGCAATGTTTAAGAATAAACTAGAAAAGAAAAGAAAAAGAAAAAGAAAACAACTGTTTTTTCATGTATATATATATATGTAATGACTTTCTTAAAAATTTAGTGTTGAAAAATGACCCTATGAAAGGAGTCGAAAGCTACACTGTATTGTTTTTTAGAAAAAAATAAAAAATAAAATAATAAAATGATTGATGAACTTGTTTGTCTTAATACTTACCTAGAAATTGTAACACTAGATCCGAATCTTCAGAATCATTGGCCTCGTTTATCGTTTCAATTTGTTCCACATCCAGAGGTTATGTGCGCTGTTGTTGAAGAGTTATTAACTGAACCTATGGAGAATTTGATTTTGCAAATTCGATAGCATTCCCTTATATCTCGCTGTTATTAAAATTGCGACAGTTTGTATAAAGCTTTTATTAAAACATTATGCCAATTTATTAATCGAAAATAATCTTTACAATTCTGCGATTGCCAGTTGTATTCTAGCAAATCATTTCAATCTTTTCCTTACATTTCTTGATCAACCTATCGATGTGGATCTTAGCAAATTATATATTCAATTCGCACCAAACAAAGGAACAAATTCATCGACGAGCAACAAACTTTGGATATGGAAATATGCATCGATATCGGAGACAAAAACTAACACACATTCGTCATTAATTCATTTAATTATTGAAGGTAATTGGCAAGAAGCTTTGCCCTTAATTTTCGATGATCTCGATCGTTTTCATCTCAGATCTATTCGAGTCTTTGAAGTAGCTATTATGAACGACAAACTTAGTCTTGTGTTTTATCTTTTCAAAAATCTCAATGATTGAAATCTTTTATTTTAAATGAAACAAATTCGCATGGAAGAAATCTCTTTCATATTATCTGCACTTTTCAACGATCCGAAAATCAAGTTTTAGAAAAAATTCTAAATTATCTTCGTAAGAATCATGTCACTTGGAATATACCGGATAAATATGAATCATATCCATTACATTATGCTTGTGCCATCCAAAACATTTCATTTCTTCATTTTTTAGAAGAGAAATATTCAAATCAATTGAATTTCAATCAAACAGATGCATTTAGAAATACCGATTATGGTTTATTGTTCTGGTCTTCACCTAAACAAGCTTCATTTGATACACAATTCCTTCAAAGATTAATCACTGCTGGTCACTCGATTGATTGTAATAATGAAGTAGCAATCAATCCTCTATCATTTGATTATATGCATTCGTCATCGAACACTATTTATCCATATCGACTTATCAAATCTAATCATCCTTCGAATTCTGTCCGAGTATCACCATTGATCAATGCGATTGTTCATAATCATTTTGAATTAGCTGCGTTCACACTTGAACTGGGTGCTGATGTGAACTTTCTAGATGAAGAGAAACGAACACTCCTGATGTATACTGTCAGACAGGTAAAATATTACCGATCATTAAAGTCATTTTCGAAATAAGTATCTCTTTTTTTTCTAGAACAATATCAATATGGTTAGGTTACTTCATGATAGACATTACAATACCCTAGATAGTAATCGATATTCAACTAATAATGGTTCGATACGGCCACTACAAACTCGAAAAAAACCGAAAGGATTCTTTCATGGTGTTACAACAACTTCAGCACAACGTTCAGATCGTCTGGAGAATGATGATAATATCGATGAGAATGAGACAGAAACTATTAAGACATCATCGATTGATCTCGATGCTAATGGCGCACTTGGTCGTACATGTATTCATCATCTAGTTCAACCATTTCCTGACGGTTCTTATATCAATAATAGGAAACTACTTAAATTACTTCATAGTTTTGGTGCTTCATTAACTCAAATTGATTCAAGTGGACTTTCATCATTCGATATTAGTGTCAACATTTATGTGATAGTTTAACAGAATTGATCGTTCAAAAATCGTACCCAGTGCCCTCCGATAACACAATAATCCCGGGTTCTGGTCGAGGCGTCCATTTCATGATTTATTCATGTGCTAACTCGACACTCCTCCGAAACATATTTTTAAAAGAGTCTTTTACGAACATTTGACAAAACTCGAAGAAGGAAGGAAAAACCTTCCTTTACACCTTTCTCATAAATTCCTAAGAAATAGGATCAAAACTTCGTTTTAGCCTATTTCTTTCTCCATCACATTCTGTGTGTGTGATATTTGAACGAGTCATAGGTGATATTCTTATATAACATCGACAAAAAGTTCGTTGTACTTAAAACAGTCTTTATTCTTTCTCCTTCTCTTTTCTCTCCTTCTAATACGGGAGAAATAAGAACATTTGTCCATAGCTATGTAGTGAGAAACATGTGACACTGACGAAAATATATATTTTTATTCTCTCTCTGTCTCCTTCTTATATGTAAAACACGTGACAATAACGAAAATATATATTTTGGTTATCTCTCTCTCTCCTTCTTATATACAAAAAAAGAATTTCTTTCAACAATTTTTATACATGTCTTTATTTCCTTCTTTGGCTCCTGACGATCGACTTGAGCAACCGTGAAACGCGTACAGCCACGCTCGTTTTTCGAGGGATGTCAGAATTCTTGCAATTCAGCTATTCTACAGAATTCTATAGAATTCTACGCTAGCACAGATACATTTATCACTAACCAAGTTTTATTCAAGCGGAAATGTATAGAATTCTATAGAATTCTAGGTTAGCATAGATATATAATATATTGACCAAGTTTGAGTCAAGCGGAAATGTATAGAATTCTACGTACAGTACTATCGTAGAATTCTATAGAATTCTAGGTAAGCATAGATATACAATATATTGACCAAGTTTGAGTCAAGCGGAAATGTATAGAATTCTATAGAATTCTAGTTACGGTACTATCGTAGAATTCTAGGTTAGCATAGATATACAAAATATTGACCAAGTTTGAGTCAAGCGGAAATGTATAGAATTCTATAGAATTCTAGTTACGGTACTATCGTAGAATTCTAGGTTAGCATAGATATACAAAATATTGACCAAGTTTGAGTCAAGCGGAAATGTATAGAATTCTATAGAATTCTACGTACGGTACTATCGTAGAATTCTAGGTTAG